GCTGTAAGAGAGACATTCAAAGCAATAAATGCCTACCTCGAGAAACAATTAAAGTCTCAAATAAACAACCTAACTTTTATGATAAAACCCCTCAACAGAAGTGGGTATAGAGGGAACATATCTCAACATAATAAAGGCCATATATGACAAGCCCACAGCAAACATCCTACTCATCGGTGAAAAGCTGAAAGCCTTTCCTCTAAGATCAGGAACGAGACAAGGATGCCCACTCTCGTCACTTCTATTCAATGTAGTATTGGAAGTCCTAGTCAGAGCAATTAGCAAGAAAAAAATAAAAGTCATCCAAATTAGAAAGGAAGAAGTAAAACTGTCAGTATTTGCAGATGACATGATATTTATATAGAAAACTCTAAAGAATCCATCAAAAAACTGTTAGAAGTAATAAGTGAATTCAGTAAAGTTGCAGGATACAAAATCAATTACACAAAAATCTGTTGCATTTCTGTACACTAATAACAAACTATCATAAAGAGAAGTAAAGAAAACAGTCTCATTTACAATTGCATTAAAGATTAAAATACCTAGGAATAAATTTAACCAAGGAGGTGAAAGACCTGTATATTGAACAATATATGACATTAATGAAAGAAATTGAAGAAGACACAAATAAGTGGAAAGATATTCTGTGCTTATGGACTGGAAGAATCAATATTGTTAAAACATCCATACTACCCAAAGCAATCTACAGATTCAATGCAGTCTCAAAATTCCAATGTCATTTTTCAAAGAAATAGAACAAATAATCCTAAAATTTGTATGGAACCACAAAAAAAAACCCAAATAGCCAGAGCCATCTGGAGAAAGAAGAACAAAGCTGGAAGCATCACACTCCTGGATTTAAAACTATATTACAAAGCTGTAGTAATTAAAGCTATGGTATTGGCATAAAAACAGACATATGAATCAATGGAACAGAATAGACAGCCCCAAAATAAATCCACTCATGTATGGTCAATTTACGACAAAGGAGCCAAGAATATGCAATGGGGAAAGGTCTGTCTTCTCAATAAATGGTGTCAGGAAAACTGGACAGCCACATGCAAAAGAATGAAACTTGACCAATATCTTATACCATACACAAAAATTAACTCAATAGATTAACTAAAAAATGGATTAAATACTCGAATATAAGACGTGAAACCACAAAACTAGAAGAAAACATAGGCAGTAAGCTCCTTGACGTTGGTCTTGGTGATGATTTTTTGAATCTGACGCCAAAAGCAAAAGCAACAAAAGCAAAAATAAATAAGTGGGACTACATATTAAAAAGCTTCTGCACAGTAAAGGAAACCATCAACAAAATGAAAAGGCAGCCTACTGAATGGGAGAAAATATTTGCAAATCATATATCTGATAAGGGACTAATATCCAAAATATATAAAAAAATCATACAACTCAACAACAAAAAACAAACAATCCGATTAAAAAATAGGCAGAGGACCTGAATAAACATTTTTCCAAAGAAGGCATACAGATGGCCAACAGGTACATGAAAAGATGCACAACATCATTAATCATCAGGGAAATGCAAATCAAAACCACAATGAGATACCACTTCACACCTGTTAGAATGGCTGTTACCAAAAAGACAAGAAATAACAGGTGTTGGCAAGGATGTGGAGAAAAGGGAATCCTTATGCACTGTTGATTGGAATGTAAATTGGTGCAGCCACTATGGAAAACAGTATGGAGGTTCCTCAAAAAATTAAAAATAGAACTACCATATGATCCAGTAATTCCACTTTTGGGTATTTATCCAAAGAAAATGAAAACACTAACTGGAAAAGATATATGCACCCTCATGTTCATTGCAGCATTATCGATAATAGCCAAGATATGGAACTAAGCTAAATGTTCATCAATGGATGAGTGGATAAAGAAGTTGTGGGGCCGGCCCCGTGGCTCAGCGGTTGAGTGCGCGGGCTCCGCTGCTGGGGGGGTTCGGATCCTGGGTGCGCACTGACGCGCCGCTTCTCCGGCCATGCTGAGGCCGCGTCCCACAGGCAGCAACTAGAAGGACGTGCAACTATGACGTACAACTATCTAATGGGGCTTTGGGGGGGAAAAAAAAGAAGGAGGAGGATTGGCAATAGATGTTAGCTCAGAGCCGGTCTTCCTCAGCAAAAAGAGGAGGATTAGCATGGATGTTAGCTCAGGGCTGATATTCCTCACAAAAAAAAAAAGAAGTTGTGGTATATATACATAGTAATATTATTTAGCTATGAAAAAGAATGAAATCTTGACATTTGCAACAACATGGATGGACTTGGAGGGCATTATGCTAAGTGAAATAAGTCAGACAGAGAAAGACCTTATGATCTCACTTATATGTGGAATCTATAAAAAAAAAAAAGAAACCAAGCTTATAGATACAGAGAACAGATTGGTGGTTGCCAGGGGCGTGGGAGAAATGGGTGAAGGGGTCAAAAAGTAAAAAGAAAAAAATACAGTTGATGTAAAATAAAACAGACATAGAAATTTTGAATCATATTCAAAATATTAACTTTACATATATACATATATGTTTATGTATATGCTAATGTATATTATATAGGTATATTATATATAATACATATAAAAACACTGATGCATACCTATTATTTCTAAAATAATAAAAATGCCACATTCTAAATCTTTAAGATTGAAAAAAAAAGAAAATGAGTGCTATAATAGACAATGCAAGTACAAAGTGCTATGATTGCAGAATCTTCTAGAAAATAGATTATTTCTGGGATTATGGCTTCTTGAGTAGTCGTTACTTTTTTTACATTTAATTAAAAAAATTAATACTTTATATAGACTTTTCCCCCATTAATATAGTGAGCTTAAACATTTTTTTCACGTTCATTTCCTAGATGTATTTCATGTTTTGTTACTCCATTCCTTTGCTCATTTATCTACTCAGGGGGAGAGGTCTTTTTGGTTTATCAGAGTTATTTATATTTTAAATATAACCATTTACCATATTTTAACAACTTTTCCATTTTTAAAAATTGATTTTACAAATGAAATCTATATAGATGTATCTGTTGACTTTTTGTGATTTTTATTGCTTCTAAGTTTGTGTTCTCTTTTCAGATGTTAAATACTCAGTTTCACTTTCTTTCATTTTGGTTATTATCTGGTTTTATGTACTCTTTAATCCACTCTGCCTTTAATTTATGGGAGGGTATGAAGCGAGATAACTAAATTGCTTATTTTCAAATTGCTAACCAGTTATCATGACATCATTACAAAATCCTTCCCACTATCAAGTTATGATTTCTCCTAAATCACATATTAAAATTATTTTATACCTAAGTTATCCATTATATTTCAATGTCTCCCTATAGTGACAATTTGAACTAATATAGTAGGTTTTAATAGTAGGTAGGGCTAGGTCCCCCTCATTATTCTTCTGTTTTGGAATTTTCTTTGACATCCTCCTCAACATTTGGAACATTTTGTCAAGTTTCAGTGCATTTTTATTGCCTTTGGCTTTTTTAAAATTAAAAAACTCTGGCTATGAGTAATATATACTTATTTTATAAAAGAATAATATATAACTCCACCACCCAAAGATGTATGTTAAATCACTTATGTAGTACTCAGTGATATGCTGTGCATTGCTCCAAGCGCTTACAAACATTAATTCCTTTTGTTTATAACTGAGGCAAGTAGAATCTTTTTTTTTCAAAAAAAAAAAAAAAACAGTTTTACAGTAAAGGAAACTGATGTTATGCCTGTTTCACAGATGAAGACACTTGCTCAAGGTGCCCAGGTGGTGAACAGAGCCAGGATTTGAATCAGGGCAGTGTGGTTCCAGGGGCCTGGGCTGAACGCTATGATGCCATTCCATCAGACACAATTATTATCCATATTTTGGTGTATCTACTTCCAATCTTTTACAAAGTGGGGTGTCCCTGTACATACTTTGTATAATCTTTTCACTTACAGATATGGCATGGAACATTTGCCCATACTATGGTATAAGTCTTTCACAGCACGATTTTTAATAACTTTAATATTTCTCGTATGCATGTGTAACAATGCATTTAGCCAATTTCTCATTTTGGAATAATTAGTTTGCTTCCCATTTTCCCCAGTAATAACACTGCTGAGATGTACTTTCTTGAGGCTAAATCTTTTCACAGATCCACAATTATTTTATTATAAATTCTAAAACTGGAATTGCTAGGTCTAATGTTCTATACATTTCAAAGGCTTTTGATACATATTGCCAAACAGTCCTCTGGATAGATTTGCAGCTTTATCTGCAGCATAGGGACATGTTTCACCTCACCCCCACTAAGTCATTATAAGAAAAAACAAAAACTACCAATTTGAGATCGCTGGTACCTTTTAAATGGAATTGCATTCAATATTCCTTAATTCCCACTATGCACTATCTACCATGGAGAAACAGCCCTTTTGCACGAGGACATCTATATAATTCCCTGCAGCATTGTATATAATACTGAAAAATAAAAATGAACTTAATGTTCTCCAACAGGGGACTGCTAAGCAGCCGGCATCCGCCCACGGCGGAGCGTTCCGCGCGCTTTAAGGCGGAGGCGGGACCGCGGGTCCAGTGCAGACTGTGGGGACGCGAGGCCTCCGCCGCCTCCCCGGGGAGCGGGGCTGCTCTCAGGGGTTTCTGCTCCTGGATCGGCTTTACGCCGGACTCGGGATTCTGCAGCAAGCGGTCGGTCTGTTGCGAAGAGCACAGATCCAGGTTCGCGCCCTGGCCAGGCCCTGGGTGGGCAGCCGACGGTGGCCGCGTGACGACCCTCCCCAGCCTCGGTGTCCGCACAAGCCCTCCCTCGAGAGCCCGCCGCCCACCCCGGAGCCTTCTTCAAGGCATGCAGGGAGACCGGACCCTTCGCGGTCGGGCCCCTGGGCGCCGGGGCAAGTTTCCGCGGGCCACTCTCAGCAGCGCACCAACCGGAAATGTCCGTGTTGTGGCGGAAGGAGATGCTCCCCGGAAGCAGCCAGTGCTGACAGAAGCGTGGCGGGCAAAGATGATTCAGGCGATTCTGGTTTTCAACAACCACGGGAAGCCGCGGCTAGTGCGCTTCTACCAGCGTTTCGTGAGTGCGGCCCAGCCTCATCACGTCCCTTCGGGGCGGCCGCCCCCCTTTCTTCCCCTAGGCCCCTACGGCGCCCGCGGGCCCGGCAGGTGACCCCTTGGGGCTCCTGCCCCTTGCGTGACCTCAGACCCCTTAACCTCCTTCCGCGGCCCGGGGCCAGTGTCAGGCTTGCTGCCCCCGCCCTCCCCGACCCCGCCCTGGACCCGGCATTTCCGTGCGGTTTGGTGACACTTCCCTTTGGGTCTCAGGGCGCTCTGAGTGACGGCGGGGGTGTGCCTCATTGGGAACGTGAATGATTGCAGTCACTTTAGCATTGGTGGGTGTTGAACGCAGTTCCATGAGGCGGAAGAAATATGCAGCTGCTTAAAAGTTTTTGCTTTAGCCGGAGGGTCTGGAAAAGTGCTTTCTTGGGATTATTTCCCTTCCATGTTTCCTGGGCCTGCCCCGGGACTGGATACCCTGCGCTCTGTCGAGTTGAGGGAAGTCAGTTTAAAAGTGAGGAATGATGAGAAATTATAAATGCTGCCGCGAGAATTTTCCAAAAACGTTTTTCTGGAAAAACGCAAACATCGTTATTTGCATCCTGCCCCTCAACGTTTTCTTTTTCTGGCTAGGTTTCAGAATGTTACATGCATAATTGGTGGACTGGTGGAAGCCCAGAGGGGAAAGACTCGGAGAATTTAGGTTTAGGTCTCAGCTCCACGTTTTTTACCTTTGGGTCTATTGACAAGTTAACAAACTCTTTCAGGCTTTATTTCCTCTTTTGTCAAATAGAAATGAAAAAATAGTTTTGCCTTTTTCATAGGATTTTTTTTAATCTAGATTACATTTTATTAAATAATTATATCGAGGTAAAAATATTAGCATTCAATATAACTGTTTGTATTTGTATTTTTGTCTGTGTCTTTTTTTCCCTCACTTTTAAGTGTTATTGAGATATAAGCCACGTACCATACAGTTCACCTATTTAAAGTGTACAATTCAGTGGTTTTTAGTATGTTCACAAAATTATGCAACCATCACCACAATCAATTTTAGAATATTTTCATTACCCCAAAAAGAAACCCCTACCCATTAGCAATCACTGTGTATTTACCCCTCAATTCCCCCAGCCCTAGGCAACCACTCATCTACTTTCTCTCTCTCTAAATTTGCCTCTTCTGGACATTTTATATAAATGGAATCATACAATATGTGGTCTTTTATGACTGGTTTCTTTCACCTAGTATGATGTTTTCAAGATTCATCCACATCATAGCGTTTATCAGTTCTTCATTCCTTTTTATTGCCGGATAACATTCCATTGTATGGATATACCACATTTCATCAGGTGATGTTTTCACCTGCGGCTCTTGTGTATAATGCTGTTACACACATTCACATACAAGTTGTTGTGTGGACGTGTGTTTTCATTTCTCTTGGTTATACACCTAGGAGTAGAATTATTGGGTCATGTGGTAACTTTATGGTGAATATTTTGAGGAACTGCCAAACTATTTATCAAAGTGGCTGCATCATTGTACATTCCCATCAGCAATGTGTAAGAGTTCCAATTTCTCCACCTCCCCATCAACATTTGTTATTATCTTTTTGATTAAAGACATTTTAGTGGGTGTAAAGTGGTATCTCATTGTGGTTTTAATTTCCATTTCTCTAATGATTACTGATGTTAAGCATCTTTTCATGTCCTTACTGGCCATTTGTATATCTTCTTTGGAGAATGTAGGATTTTTAAAATTTTTTTATATATTTTTATATTTTTTTGCAGGGGAAGAGTTGCCCTAAGCTAACATCTGTTGCCAGTCTCCCTCCTTTTTTTCTCCCCACCCCCCCCAAAGCCCCAGTGCACAGCTGTGTATAGTTGTAAGTTCTTCTTGTTCTTCCACGTGAGCCACCGCCGCAGCATGGCTACTGACAGACAAGTGGTATGGTTCTGCTCCTGGGAACTGAACCTGGGCCGCCGAAGTGGAGCATGCCAAATGTTAAATGCTAGGCCATCAGGGCTGGCTTGAGAACATAGGATTTTTATGAGAACCAAATTAGCTCATGAGTGAAAATTACCTTGAAAACTGCAGAGTACTAAAAGATATGAGGGATTATTAAAATAATTGAGTCATATAAGCAATTGGTAGTTTACCTTTTTGTTGAATTAGAAATTAGGTAGCCTCACCATTTCATACCACTTCCCCAGTGACTGCTGCCACTTCCCCCTAGAGTCAGATAAAAGGCTTTAGATTGAAAGATGTTTTTGTCACTTTAAAAAAGTGCTGATGCTTAGCATGTTTTATGTTTCAAAGTACTTAGACTTAACCCTTTAAAGCATCCTGGCATTGGTGAGCTCTGTGAGTTCTTTAAATGGAAACCAGGAAAATAGTGATTGATTCACCTGAACTCAGTGACCAGTGATTAGCAAGTTTGCGTTCATCCATTCAGTAAATACTGAGAGCCACTCTATATCCATGTTGAGTCAAAGTTATGAAAAGTGGTTTCTTCACAATGACATTTTCCCTGTTTTTTTTCTATTTCTTTTAAATAATTAACCAGTTCAAACCTAAATTGAATGCTGTAGAAAGAAAGAGATGAACATTTCTTGAATCTGTTTTCTGACTCTTAGGACAAGTCCAGTCTGAAGGTTTTCTTAAGCTTTGCTACTCCAAGCGTGGTGCCCAGACCAGCAGCATTGGTATCACCTGGGATCTTGTTAGAACTGCAGTCTTAGGACTTACCCCAGGCCTATGAAATCAGAATCTGCATTTTTAGCAACAGTCCCAGGTGATTCATTGCACATTAAGCTTTGAGAAGCACTGGTCTAGAGCTTTTAATTACTTTTTTCTTAATGACTGGTTTCTCTTTCCCATCATTCTTTTTTTAACCATACTTACTATGAACCTCATATGTATAAATAGAAATCGAATGGGAATTATCGAGAGATTCCATCACAGTTGACCTTTTTCATGTGTAGTAAGTGAATAGTAAGTGAAACAAAATATTTGTAGCTCTGTGATTGTCCAAAATTCTAATCTGTAAGTACAACTTTTTCTTTCTCAGTAATACTTTGTTGATGAATAACACAGCATCTTATATGTAATACCTATATTACCAGTACAAAAGATGGCAAATTCAGTTTGTTAAAACATGTGCATGATTACATCTTGACCTCCTAGAAGTGTTAGACCTGTTGACGTTTGTTATTTACCTGGCATAGATGTTTTTAGGGGAAGACACAATATTTCAGGACCAGACTTTCTAGTTACTCTTTGACCTTGTATGAGAGTTTATCAGTTCTCCTTTCCTTGTTTATTAACTAGTATATAAATACCAGCTTACCTATCAGGACAGTAGTGGCTAGTGACTATATATCTAGGTAAACATACCTTGTCTTATTTTCTGTAACAGAGCCTTGTTGTCCATCTTCCCATGGATTCACTCTTTATTTTTTCTCTACTCATCATTTTTATCTTCTCTGGAAACTGATACCGAATGTTCAGATTGTTCCCAGCTTGGAAGCACTTCTCTTCCTGTCCATCCCCATCAATGGGACGTCGTTTTCCAGACTTTCCCACTGATTCACTTTATTTCTTTTATTCCATAGCCAGAAGAAATTCAACAGCAGATTGTTCGAGAGACCTTCCATCTAGTTCTCAAGCGGGATGACAACATCTGTAACTTCTTGGAGGGTGGAAGGTAAACAGCTTCAGTTTTCTCCCCATATATCCACTGTTGGGTGACCTTGTCATTATTGCTTCTTCAGGCAGTACTCAAGTGTCAGGGTGGGTACCTGATGCAACTTGAGCTGATCTTAGCATCATCTGCTCAGGAGAGACCCAATTCTGTTCTGGAAGCTGTTGTGCTTCAGGTATTACTCATTTAGATGTTTGATTCTTGAGAGGATGGGCGGAAGAAAAGGTGAGGTAAAGTAGCTTTAGACATCTCTGCCCAACTTGGTTGCCTTTCACCTGGGAGAAATGGCCTATTCTTTGGCCTGCCCCTCCTCTTTCTACTGGTCCTGTTCTCCTTCCTTGTCACTGGGTTTCTCTTTGATATGTTTAATTAATTAACATTTAATTAAGGCATTTAAATGTTTCCCATCTTCCACAGTTTGATTGGTGGCTCTGACTACAAACTGATCTACCGGCACTATGCTACCCTCTACTTTGTATTTTGTGTGGACTCATCAGAGAGTGAACTGGGAATCTTGGACCTCATCCAGGTATGTGTAGTCATCTAATGATGGCAGCCACTTTAGAGAGTTTGCGCTGGACTTTTGAGTAACCAACCTGTAAGATCCTCTTGTCAGTCTCTTTACTGATACTGGTACAAGTTGCCAGACGTCCACCAGATGGTGCTGTGAGAAAGCTCCTGAGGAACCGTCAAAAATTCTTAGAGCTTTTGGATTCATTGGTTTCTACCCAGCCCTCTCACTGCTCTTGGTTTTCTTATACGATTCTGAGACCAATTACAGTGTGTGTGTTCCCTCCCCCCACCAAGCAATTAACTCAATTCTCCTTGGACACTGACCAGGTGTCCCATAAATTTAACTCAATTCTGACACTATCTACCTAGATACCAATCACAAGTCCATGTTGTCACCTGTGCTTCTGATGACTGGCTATAGATTGGAGGTTCCCATGATCTCCTCCTCGGGTTCAATTAATTTGCTAGAGCGGCTCACAGAATTTGGAGAAACATTGTACTTACTAGATTATCAGCTTATTATAAAAGGATATAACTCAGGAATAGCCAGATGGAAGAGATGCATAGGGCAAGGTATGTGCGAAGGGGCGCAGAGCTTCCATACTCTCTAAGTGCTGACACTCTCTCCAAAACTCCATGTGTTCGCCAACCCAGAAACTTCTCCAAACCCCCTCCTTTTGAGTTTTTATGGAGGCTTCATTATATAGGCATGATTGATTAAATCATTGGCCACTGGTGGTTGATTCAACCTCCAGACTCTCTCCCCTCCTTAGAGGTCAGGGGGTGGGACTGAAAGTTCCAACCCTCTAATCACATGGTTGGTTTCCTGGGAACCAGCACCCATCCTTAGCTGCTTTCCAGAAGTCACCTTATTAACAGAAACAAAAGACACCTTTATTACTTAGGAAATTCCAAGAGTTTTAGGAGCTCTGTGCCAGAAACGGAGATGAATGCCAATTAAATACTTATGATTATAAATTACAGTACCACGTGATGTTTTGAAATTTTTTTCAACTATGAAACCAAATGACTTTTAAAAATTTGTGCTTTATATTTTCACTTGTAATTCTAGCCTAAAGCAAAGAAACTTGATGTTTTCGTTAGTCTGTGCCATCTTGACATAGGTAAACATGATTTTAGTAGGCTTTTTGAAAATTAGAAATGACTTACAGATTCTTTTCATTACGTTCATGGAAACTGAGGTGTGTAGGGATACTAGCTTAGGAACCGTTAATGTAGTACAATTGCATCATTTTATACATGAAATTCTAGGTGGGCTTCTTTTAAGTGACTTGAAAAAGCCACTTAAGTAGAAAGCACTCAAATAGAAGCTTGCATTAAAACCTAGTTGGCAACAATTATAGAAAAGAAAACTCTCTAGCTATAAAATAGAAACCTTAAATGCATGCAACTGCATTTTAAGATAAAATTAAAGAAGCTAAATTTAATATACCCAAGGACAAATAAATGGAAATTTTGAGTGTATATTTTCATTTCAAATACACCAGACTCTTTTCTAAAAAGTGATGTTCTTCTTGGGCATAGAAATTTTTAAATTTTATTTATTTATACCCATTCACATTCAGAAAATTGTTTAAAACGATTGATTAAAAGTTCCATACATCATGGGCAGGCCCCGTGTCTTAGCAGTTAAGTGCTCGCACTCCACTGCTGGCGGCCCGGGTTCGGATCCCAGGCGCGCACCAATGCACCGCTTCTCCGGCCATGCTGAGGCCGCATCCCACGTACAGCAACTAGAAGGATGTGAAACTATGATGTACAACTATCTACTGGGGCTTTGGGGGAAAATAAATAAATAAATAATTATTTTAAAAAAATTTCATACATCGTATTCAGTTATACATGAAACTATAAATAAATAATGAGAACATCTAAAAAGATTCATCTCTAAGATAATTTTTAAATGCTTTCTTAACATCTGAGTCAGGTTGGACATTGAGAGTCAGTTGGCATAATAGAAATAGCTCAAGATCCACAATCAGAAAACCTGATTTGAGTCTTTGATCCACCATCTGACTATAGAAACATTAGGCAGTGTATTTTATTGTATTATAGACTATAGAATGCTATAGAAATGTGCATGTGATAAGAGTATATTTGAAAATAAAGGAAATATAATGATATATTTTAAAAATTGAGATGCAGTTATTAGAGGAAGTACACTTCAAATATCTATATTAAGACAAAAAGATGTAACTTTATAATGTAATGGACATTTATTGGATATTTAGTGTGAATTGGATTTGGGAAGATAGGATAGGTAAAAGGTGAAAATGATAGAAACTAAGAGTTTTGATCTTTGAAAAGACAGTAAAATCAATAAGTAGTTGGCCTAATATGAAGAGGATAAAAGCCAGAAATAGAAAACATCAAATGTTTTTAGGGGATGATATCCATGGTTATATAATCAATATACAGTCATGCCCCACATGACAATGTTTTGGTCAACAATGGACCGCATGTACGACGGTGGTCCCATACGGTAAGTGCCTTATAGCCTAGGTGTATAGTGGGCTATACCATCTAGGTTTGTGTAAGTACACTCTAGGATGTTTGTATGACGAAATCGACTAATGACACATTTCTCAGAACATATCCCCGTTGTTAAATGATGCATAAATGTATTTGAAATAGCTGACTACAAAAAATAAACACCCAAATTAGGTCAACAAAAAGGCACTTAATCCAATATTAGGATGAAATAAGACGGGTTAAAAAAAACCTGCCTCATAGATTCAGAATTTTTTTAATGTTGAAGCACAGTAAAACCTCTATGTTACTTACATAAGTTATTTTCTAAACTCAGAATAAAAAATCATACTGCTTAAGTGTATTTTACAGAGTAAATTGGTTGTGATATAAAAGCCTCTAAAAAAAGAAAATGTTACTCAAATATTGCATATTAATATTGGTACAAAATTACTAAATAAAATCTTGGCCAATAATCAGTTGAATCAAGCAGTCATGAGACCTGGCTCTTGTTTCTGACTCTCCAGTTAAGAAGCAGTGTGGCCTTAAATAAATCATTTAAGCTTTGAGGCCTTAGGGGGTTTGTGTTTTGTGTTTTGGCTCTTCTGTGTGTGTTTGTTTTGATTTATAAGTACACTAGATGTTCTTTGCTAGCTCTAAAATTCTTTCTCTCTCAGGAATACTGCATACTAGAAGAATTGATCATTGTGTCCAAATAGTCTTTATCCCAAGGGCGCAAGTTGGTTTAACAAAGAAAAAATCTTGGAGTCTATTACCGCAGTGAGAAAAATAGTGGAAACTAATATAATTGCATCAGTAGATGCCAAGAGAAATGATTATCCAAATTATATTCCTGAAATACTCTTAAATTGGAATAGGGAGCATTTTTATATGATTCTTTAGTGCACGTTTATTTATTTAGCATAAACCGTTGAAGAAATAATACATTTATGTGGCCCAAAATTCAAAAGGCACACCAAGAGTAGTATACAGTGAAAGTATCTTTCTTCGCCTTTCCCAGGGAAGAAATCTACAGGCATTCACGGAAACAAGGGTGTCTCTTACTGTTTCTCTAATTTGAACAAGCACTTGTAATGAGTGATAAAAATAGAAATCAAGAAGTAACATAGTAAAGGAAGAGAGAGATAAGTTATCACTGTAAGGTGGCCTAATTATGTACCTAGAAAACCTAAAAAAAAAAGCAAAAACCATAACCAGTAATTCATGATACAAGCAAAATGGCAGAATACAAGATAAATCCATCAAAACTGAATTTCCTGTTTCTGTGAAAACAGCTATAAAATTCATAATTAAAGAAATTTCACTTACAGTAGTGACAAAGGATATTTGGTGTTTGGAAATTAACTTAGTATGGAATACTTGACATTGATTCCAATGAAACTGTAAAATCTTAAAGGAAAAACATAAAGGAATACTTGAAAATGAAGCTACAAGCCCTCCACTTGTTAGGAAGAGTCAAGCAAAGATGACAATAGTAATCAGTAGGTTATTTTTATTTATTTATTTTTTTTGTGAGGAAGATCAGCCCTAAGCTAACATCCATGCCATCCTCCTCTTTTTGCCAAGGAAGACTGGCCCTGAGCTAACGTCCGTGCCCATCTTCCTCCACTTTGTGTGGGACGCTGCCACAGCATGGCCTGACAAGTGGTGCATCGGTGCGTGCCTGGGATCCGAACCCTGGGCCGCCAGCAGCGGAGTGCGCACTTAACTGCTATGCCACAAGGCCGGCCCTTTTCTTTTTGTGAGGAAGATCACCCCTGAGCTAACACCCATGCCAATCCTCCTCTTTTTGCTGAGGAGGACTAGTCCTGAGCTAACATTCGTGCCCATCTTCCTCCACTTGATGTGGGACGCCGCCACAGCATGGCCTGACAAGTGGTGTGTTGGTGCGCACCTGGGGGCAGCCAGCAGCAGAGCGCGCGCACTTAACTTTAGGCTACGCCCGGGGCCAGCCCCATAATCAGTAGATTAAATGGGAAACCAAGTATAATTCCATCAGGGGATCTTATAGAACTTGGTAAAGGGAAAATTTATCAGGAAAAATGACTGGCCAAGAAATGCAAAATTATGTTTTGAGGGGAAAAGGACAGTAACGTGGGATTGGCTTTACTGGGCTTCAGAATATGTAATGGTTGCAATGAAATTATTATCTGTCTAGAAAATCCAAAACACTCAACTGGAAAACAATTAGAACTAATAATAGAGGTCAGTAAGGGGACTGGATACAAGTTTAACATATAAAAATTAATAGCTTTCCTTTAGCAATAATAAGTTGGAAAATATAATATTTAAAAGGGACCCACTCACAATAGCACAAAGGTCCATAAGATACCCAGGAATAAATGTAAAAATGTTCAAGATCTCTCTATGAAGAAAACTTTAAAACTCTACTAAAAATCTGAAAAAAGAGCAAAATAAATGAATAAAACATACCTTTGCCTGTTGAGAAATCTCGTTAAAATGTCCAGATTATAAATGACTGAAAACCCAGTCAGAATCCCAGTA